CTCGAGGGAGACGCCAAAACAAAGCAAATAGGGCTCTGGTGTGTGCAAGTATATTTGTTTTTTCTCTCAAGGGCATTTTTGAAAATTTACATTATTTTTAATCCCAAATAAGACCATGGTCCTTAATTGAGATTTCTATATTTCAAGGTCCCCAATTGGGATTAATGTCCTTAACCGGTCCTTAATTGTCATTTTCCCATTTTTATTTTTGGTAAATGAGCAAATTACTCATTGAACTCTAAGTCCAGTAGCACTTTTGACTCTAAACTCATTTATTATACAAATGATTCCTTTAACTCTTGAAAATGATGTAATATGGCTCTTGCTATTAACAAAAGTTAATTTTGACCATTAATTGATTACAAAATGAAAGAAAAGGAACTAAAAAATTACTAAAAAGGCCCAAAAAAAGTTCAGTCATTGTCTATAATTTTTGTCCTTTGTTGTAATTTTATCCATTTTTATAATTTTTGATGTCTTTTTCTATCATTCTCTAATCAACTAATGGTGAAAATTAATTTTTGTTAACAATTGGGGCCAAATTGCATGATTTTCAAAAGTTAAGGTGATGATTTACACAATAAATTAACACGTTTTGGGCTTATAGTATTACTATATCTAAAGTTTAGAAGATAATTTTCTCATTTACCCTTTTTTTTTGTTAGTTATAAGTGTTTAAGACTGATTAAAATTCTGGTAAAAAAATTAGACTGATTAATGTTAAACTTGACGTATCACACGTTAATTTCACCAAGAAAACAAACTAGGGGCTTGTCTGGTTTTGTTCCCTTTTTAATTTTTAAAAAATTATTTTGTAAAACAATTTTTTAAAATTATTTTTTAAATTAAATTAATTTAAAAAAATTTAGTGCAGAAAAATGGTCGATATGAATGGTCTTCGGTGGCTATTGGTTAATTGATGATGATGGCCTATTGTGTTTAATCATAAATAAAGATAATTTACAATAGTCAAATATAATTTAAAAATTTTAAAAAGAAAAAAAGCAGCTTTAAGTTGTTATTATTTTTAAAAAATAAAAAAAATTGAAAACATTTAAATCTAAGAAGCTTATCTGAACAAATTTTTTATTGTTAAAAATAAAAAATATTTTTTAAAAACACAAATCAAATATATCCCATTATGTAGTTTTTTTTTTTTTTTGACCGAGGACTTGTAATGTAGATAACAAAGCTTCAATATATTTAAAAACCCTGGTCAATTTTTTTTTTTTTATGTACTCTGTTTCATTTGATTAGTAATGTTTTTCAGTTCCCATTCAAAAAATAAAAAGCCTCCAATTTGAGTATTAGGAATGCAAATAATAATATTAACGAGGACGACCGCGTCAACAGTTATCCACAAGTTATTTTTTGGGAGCACATTCAGTGCTCATCACCCTTTAACCAATCTAAACCATTTAAATTTAACTGCTTTTTTTAATTTTTTTAAATAAAAATTTATAAAATTTTAAATAAATATATTTTATTATTAATATGTATCATTCATATTTAATCAGATCAATTTAAATTTATTAATTTTTTATAATTTTTATAAATTGATGATATAGATTTATGCTGAACTGTTTTAAATTTGATAGTATAACAAGTTAAAAATTTTGGATTTGAACAGTACAAACTAAATTGGTATGATCAATTTATAAAAATTACAAAAAATTAATATTAAATTTGAACTCATCTGATTAAATGTAAATGGTACATGCCAATAATAAATATATTTATTTATAAATTTATAAATTTTTATTTTAAAAAAATAGTTTAATCTGGACGGTCCAGATTCTTCAGGGTCACCCCTGATGAGCACCTACTGTGCTCCGTTATATTTTAATATGGATTGGTTGTAAATAATCTAAAAAAGCATGGTGTACAGTATAACGATACATAAAACAAGAAAAAGAAAATCGCTTCACTATAATATGAGTTGCATTTACAACCCAAAATATATACATACGTGCGTGTGTTTGTGTGAGTTACATTTAAAACTTAAATGCATCGTTATACACTATGAGTTACATTTAAAACTTAAATGCTTCATTATAACAATTAAAATTTTTAAATTTATAATTGTTTAAATTGATATTTTCTATTCATTTTTGGAAAAAAAAAGTATCAATAATTTAACTATCATTTGTTTATTATTTTGTGAGAAAATATAATTATTGGTCCCTAAAATTTTAATGTATTTTAATATAGGTCTCTATATCTTTTTTCATTTTTCTAGATTCCTCTAGTTTTTCTCACCACAACATTAGTCTCTTTATTCTTTTAAATATGTTTAAAGGGATGATGATATGGCACTAATAATATTAAATATGTTCACTTGTCACTTAGAGGCGGTAACCCAAATAAACACAAAAAGATTGAGGGCTCGGTTCAGTAATTTTTTTTTTTCCAATATTTGGGCATATTTGAGCCAACTCAAAAATATTTGAGTAGCCCAATCAAGTTCAAGTTTGGCCAGACAATAACAAGTATTTTCTCATTGACTTGAATACTTGAAGAAAAATTACTTTTTAAAAAACATATTAAACATTAATTAATCATTTAAGACCATATAGTTGAGTACATTATTATAAATGTTTTTTAAAAAAATTAAAATTTTTTATATTTTCATTATTTTTAGTATATAAAATATCTCAAAAAATATTCAAAATATATTTCTTTTATTAATAAAAAATTTAGATAAGTTCCAAAAACTCACTAGGATTAGAGCATGCCTCCATACTTAATTGAGTCTGGCCTGCTTGATTTATTGACTCTACCATCACCAATGATTGTTAACGAGGATGTTAAAAAGAAAAAAGCACATACAACAAAAGAAAAAAATAACAAATAATTGTGTTTTCCAAATAACAAATAAATTCTTCAGACGCAAAGACGAACTTGGGAGAAGACTTGGTGACGATAGCTAGGGCAGCAGAGATCACCGACTAAGTGGGGCAGCCATTAATCGCAGGTTAGCGTCCATTATTTAGTATGGTTAACACGTCACCTTCCTCTTCTCATGTGGGCATGGATACTCTCCTCTTTCTTTTCATCATCTTTCTCCTTTTTTCCCGCTTTTTCTAGTCACATTACATCAAGATTTAGACGGTTTAAATGTGATTTATTATAAAATTATTATTAAAATATTAAATTGTAAAAAATATAAATAATAAATTCAAATTGCTAAATTTTAATAAGAACAATTAAAAAATACAATAAAAGTAAAATGAAATGAAATATTTTGGAGGAGATTAAATCTAAATCATCCAATGGTTAAAAATTAATTAAGAAGATGATGGAAAGGAAAATGAGAGAATCCTCTCTGCTGCTTCTGGACTGGGAGAGATCTCTAATTTTGTTGAGGAAAAAAAAATGAATCCACCTCTTCTTTGCCATTCAAGCCTCTCTCTGTTTTTTTTTGTTTTTTTCCAATCTGATAAAAACATGTCGCCTCTCGAGATTTTAACAACATCCTCATTAGCACCATTAATGACAAGTCAACATATTAAACACCATTAATGCCACATCATTGTCCCTCCAAGCATATTTAAAAATAAAGAGACTAGGAGGATATCCAACAGGGAATATGAGCCCTCGTCATCTAGCTTCCTCACGATCATACAAATAAAGGGACTAATACTATGAAAAGGAAAAACTAGGGGGACTTTGAATAACAAAAAAAATTATAGCAACCTATAACAAAACACGTTAAGATTATTGGGACCAATAGTTATGTTTTCCTATACTTTGGACATACTTGTCATTCTCTCTTAAATAATGTTTGTACATCTTTTTAAACCCATATTTTTCAGTTAAATAAAATTAATTTTCTATAAATGGGTCTCCATGCATTACATAGAATTTAAAGAATCGCCAAATTTGGATTGGGTGAGATCAAATCACACCCAGTAATTTTCCCCACTAATTCAGATTAAGTTGTTCCATATATAAGACTAGAATTTGAGATCTTGCTCACGGATACAAATCTCAAACTAATTGAACCAATTGTTATGGCTGACTTACCAATATTGCATGTATATTGATACTAATATTAAAAATTAAAAATATTATATATGCATGAAGCTGCTGAGACACAACAACTACTCCCTCCGTTCAAAAATATAAAACATTTTTAATAGAATCACACTCCCAATAAAATAGTTACTTACTTTCAAACTCACACTATCTTTTTATATTTACCCTTATTAAATGTCCTACAATAAATATAAAGTCATTAGGGGTGCTTTTGAAAATAAGGTAATGATTTCACTTTGAAAAACTAAAAATGCCTTATTTAACGTCAAACTCTTCAAAAAATGCCTTACATTTTTGAACAGAGGGAGTACAATTTAAAATGTATTGAATGCATTAGTTGTAACATAATGTGTCAAATGTATGACTAGAAATCTTAGTGATACTTTGAAATAAGGTATTAAAAATTAGACTGATCATGGAAAAAATCAAAATAGTGATTCAAGAGTTAGTAGTCTAACTAGGGTCAAACCAATTATGATTAAAATAATATAATTTAATTAAAATATATAAAATTATTCATATTCATCTATGAAAAAAAAGTAATATTTAAATAAAAAAGTCATTAACTCTTAAGTAAATGGAATATTCATCCATAAAATCTTATACATATCCTATACAAATATTAATTAAAAATTTCTGAAAACTAAAACACAATAGCATTAAAAATATTTAGGGATTCAGATTTAATTTAGGGTTGATCACAATTTAGAAGGGGGAAGGAAAAAAGAAAAGAAAAGAAAAAATAAAATAATAATAAAATCCAGCCCAGGTCAACTCACTGAGCTCGCTGGTTGACCAAGTTTTCTCGAGTTGAAACTTAGTCTTTTAAAATAATGCTCGTGAGTTCAAACAAACTTTCTTCCTGATCATGACAAGACTTCGAAATAGCCATGCCCTCTTTCATTATTCTACTAATAGAGTTCAACATCAATTACATTACTTGATCAAATTCACAGGAACTATTAAAAGGTCTTTCTTTTATGCCTCCACCGGTACAAATAACTTGCTAAAACACTCTCTAATAATATGTAATTGCAAAAGTAAGGGTTAAAGTAAAGAACTATAATTACACCCAGAAAAAAGACCCCAAATGCTCCAGCAAAAGTCCACAAGAAGATATTTAGGAAGTCCTCATCTTCTGAATGATGAGGTTGCTTGTTTCCCCTTGATAGTTTGTCAATAGACGAGCAATTTTTCTGTAGAGGTGGGCCACAAAGAAAAGGGTTCCCTTCATAACTATTTGGTTCAAAAGTTGAAAATTGATTTTTCATGTCAGGTATCCTTCCAGATAGATTATTATGAGCCACAGAAAAGATAGACAAGAAGTAAAGTTGCGTTAATTGTGCAGGAATGCGGCCTGTTAATTTGTTGTGTGAAAGATCTAGGCTTTCTATTTGCTTAAGGTTGGAAAATGAGACTGGAATGGGTCCTTCCAAATCATTCTTTGACAAATTTAAAGTATGGATAGTGCTTAAATATCCAATTTGTAAAGGGATTTCCCCTGTCAATTGATTTCCTGAGAGATCCAGTCCTGACATGAAATTCAAAATATTTCCTTTGTAAGATTCATGCCTGCTTTTGGTTGTAAAATCGACTTCTTGATCTCTAGACAATGTAAAAATGTCCTTGCTTTCACTTAAACTAACTTTATAAGTTGAATGGTTCAATATATAACTTGAGGCTCTTGTCATCCAGGACACAATAAAATTTCCTATATTGGTTTCTCTAGGTGCATTCGTCTTTCCAAATGCGACGTCATTCAAGCAATAGGGTATCCTTCCAGAAAGCTTATTTTGAGAAAGATCAAGTATGTTTATCTTCTTGAGCTCACATAAATCAATAGGAATAGAACCACTAAATTTGTTTTCTTTTAAGATGAGGACCCTTAAATTCAAAAGCAAGCTAAACAATCTTGGAACTTGACCTGAAAAATTGTTGTTCATGAAGTCCAAGGTCAATAAGGGGGAGTTGGCCAAAGTAGAAGGTATAGGTCCTGTGAATTGGTTGCTTTGCAAATGCAAATACTTCAACAACCGCATATTGAGACAACTTGGCAAAGAGCCGTTGAATTTATTTTTAGAAAGCTCTGGATAAGTCAGTCTAGTTAAGTTGCAAAAGCTTTTTGGTAGTGAACCTGTGAAAGAATTCTTGGACAAGATGAGGTAACTCATATGTTGAAAATTTCCAATCCAACTAGGTATTTCACCAGATAGTTGGTTGGCACTTAAATCCAACATTCTTAATTCAGTGCTATTTATAATCCCAGTTGGAATGTTTCCTTTGAAGTTATTATTGTTGAGACCCACAAACAACAAATATTTGAAAGTGGAACCCACGGGCAAACATGGGCCGCTCAGGTTATTGCTCGACAACTTCAGAAACCTCAACTGAGTGCTACCAAGACCAAATTCTTGGGGCAAGTAACCTGATAATTTATTGTGTGACAAGTCAAGATCATTCAGTTGTGTCATTTCACCTATTGAAGCTGGCAAGCTACCTCGCAGTGAACATGAAGACATGTCCAGAGAAATCAAGTTGGGAAAAAAGGAGCCAATATGAGAAGGCACTTCATCTTTAATGGGATTTGAGGAAACATTGAAAAATTGCATTTGAAGCAATTTTGAGGTGGAATTAAGTTCCAATGGACCAGTGAACCAATTGTTGGCCAAACTGAAATAATTTAACTCTGTGTTATTTGTGAAAAGCCAAGATGGGAAAATTCCTGTTATGCTTAAGTGGCTAAGTTGTAGACCTAGCAAGTCATATTGATGAAGAAGAAAGGTTGGCATTTTGTTACTGTTTGCTACAAGAGTGCAGTTGTGGATGCCTAAAAGCCTCAATTGGAAGGAAGGGATAAATGGGGGATTCTCAGTTTCAAGCTTGAGATTTGCATTATAGCAATCCATAAAAAAGATTTGGAGGTTGGAGTGGTTGGCAAGCAAAGAGAGCGAGAATGAGCCATTGAAATTGTCGTCAGACAGAGAAACTGCCACTAGGGATCTTAAAGCCTGAAATAGCGAGGAAGGAAAGGTTCCTTCAAAACCATTATTGTGAAGATGAAGTATATGTAGAGACGTCAAATTGCCGATGCATGCAGGAAGTTGCCCCTCAAATTTATTGGAGTTAAGATCCAATGCTACGAGATTCTTCATATCGCACAAGCCTCCTGTAATATCCAATTTTTATTTATTAAACTTATTTAATCAGTTCTTCAGTAAAAGAAATTATAAAACTTGAACTAATAGCTTAAAGGTTTAAACTTTGAGCTCAGTCCGTTTTTTTAAGAAACGAGAGTCCATGTTTAACAAATGAATTTTAATTAACAGTTGGGTCCCAAAAAACAAAGCCGTCAGATCATAAGCCCAAATATGCATATGATGAACTAATAGAATATATTTGAAAGCAGGAGAATCATGTTCTAAAACGTAAATAAATAATTGAGAATGCATAGAGAAAAACAAGGAAAGTGATGAAATTTGCAATTTGATAGTATTCTAATTTAGCCTATGTATGAAAATGGAACCGACACTTGCTGTGCCAATACGGCTCGATTTTATTATTATTTTTTAATTTTTAATCCTTATTGCCAAGGTTGTGTGTATTATTGAACGTTTTAAACTAAAATTTTCATCAACAAAAATGTGATAGATTGTAAATAAACTTTTTGATAAGGAAAATTTCTGCCCTCAAAACTTTTCTTGTGAAGTCTCTAGGTGTCCTGAAGTTGATTTAGGTCATTTTTATCCCTAATCGTCTGAAATCACTTGCCTTGATAACATTAACGCACCTTAAAGGGTCCATTTTCTGCTTTGTGGGCCCCTCACCATTTTGCACCAGTGGCTGACAACTCATTCTTCTCTCACCCTCCCTCCTTCTCCTCTCCCCGCTTTCTCATCTCGTCCTCTCTCTTCTGTAAATATCACTAACAACTTCCCTTCTCTCTCCTCATCATCCTCTCTCTCCTCTACTAAGTAATAAATATCCTACGCGAAAATGCACCGAAGCATAGGCATTTCGGCCATGCACATGCCAGTGATGAAGAACAACGAGGTGAGAGAGAGAACCTGAAACGAAGCATAGACCATGCGGCATGAAACGAAGCACGCCACCAGGAGAATCACACAAGTATAAAGAGTGAGTGCCGGTTCATTTCATCTACGAGCCATTGGAGAAACAGGGGAGCATATGAAGATTAAGACCCCAGAAAAAAGGATTAAGCTTGAGGATCGAGCAATAGAGCCGGGATATACAGTAATAGGGCGTTGACCCGAAAAAGAGGTTTAGAGAAGCGAGTGATGGAACCAATGCGACATAGAGTGGGCATACTGACTCACAGTGCTCATAGTATAGAGAGTACAATAGAAAGCAGCGTGGTGTGCGCTAATCTTATCAGTGTGGACTAGGCAAAGCCATGAGAGGAGGCTTGAATTCAAACTCAGACACACATCACATGGGGTGGATACAACGTAGAGAACCTGTAATGAACACACTACACCAGAATTCAATGAATCAAATTTGAGTCCCCATGGAGTTCGCGGGCTAGCCCCTTTCTGAACATTTTCACAGGTCTTGCTAACCCAGCCCGTTTTTTTTTTAACACGGGTTCGTTTTACTAATTCAACCCACCAAACTTGGTGGGCTAACAGACTGGCCTATCAGGCTGCATTGGTGCAATCTATGCAAAATTGAAGCCCTCATTGAAGCCACTAGTTTGGATGAGGGTGCCGAAGGAGTCAATGGCAATAAAGGAGCACCAGGTGTTGATCTGGATGGTGAGGGGGTGGACGGAGATGGAAGCAACGTCGTATAGGATGGAATGTGTGGTGCAGTCAACTTTCAGAGCCATTTCACGGGGGTTGAAGCAGCAACGAGTGTTGGGTAGAGAGATGTTGAAAGGGCCAAAGTTGGTGCGGTCGAATATGACCACCTGCGTTGATGCTTCGGTGCATTTTCTCGTAGGGTCATTTTTATTTATCTGAAGGTGGGGAGGGGGGGGAGAGGGAAGAGGGAGGGAAATTGAAAGGAAAAGATGAGGCGTCAGCCACTTGCAAAATAGTGGGGCCCACAGAAGCAGAAAAGAAAACATCGAGGTGCATTTATGTTGAAAACTTGAAATGACGAGCCAGGTGATTTCAAACGTTTAGGTATAAAAATATATTAAAATTGATTGAGTTAAGGGTAATGAAAAGTTCAACAAAAATGACGTCCTGATTTTTTTCTATGTAATCTAATCTTAATGGTGGAACACTCAACTAATGGATTATTTTTACTGCAGATGCTATAAATTTATGCGCACCTCGTTTGGGTAGTGAGCCATTCAAGTTATTATGTTCTAAAAACAATTTGGTGAGGGAAGTAAGAGACGTTATAGATTCTGGAAGACTGCCCTCCAAGGAATTCGAAAAAAGGTCCAGCATCTTCAAATTGCGTGAATGAGAAAGATCTGTCAAATGCCATAATGAAAATGTACAATAAGCAAGTTGCTCCTTAATTAGAAGCTTTTGAATGGATCATTTATATGTATAAAATGCCCTATAACCTTAATAAATAGTGGTACTGCCATTACCCATTGTTTTATATTTTAGTCAAAAGTTTTTGATCATTTATCTCTTTAGTCATGTTTCCATCATAAATTAAGTAAAAATTTACGTCAACTTACATTTAACTCTTAGGTATTCTAAAAAATCCTTAAAAGTTTGACTGATCTTTCAATTCTTTGAATAAAGAAACACGGAAAATCGATGAGTTTATTAGTATCAATTAACTTCTGGACGAAATCAAGGGAAAATATAATAAAAGAGTTTTAAGGATTTGATAGAGAAAAGTTCTGCTGTCTTTATATTTCTTGTGATATACATATATATTTTTTTAAGAATCTTTATAACCCATCTCTGTCAAAATAGAAATAAATTTGATGCATGATCCTGTAATAAAAAGATGCCATTTAAAAGGAAGATAAAAACCGATCACCAAAAGATGGGGCTTCCTTGAGCTCATTAACTGACAAAGACAAAACTTCCAAATTGTCAAGCCTAATATCCCCAAACAGCCCTGCTCCACAAACAACATGCATGTGATCAATTACTTTACTGAATATTTTACTGCAAGGATCGATTAAAAATGACATGTAAATCTCGTGAACTAGATCCTCTGGTTAAATACATGTGGGTGAATGATAAAATAGTTAAAGGAAAGAGAGAACCTGACAAGTAATTCCCAGACAAATCTAAAATTTGAAGTTGGTGGAAAGGGAGGAAATAAGAAACATTGAGTGACCATTTGATGTGTCCCAACTCTTCAGCTCTGGTGTGACTCAGATCAAGCTCTATCACTCTGTGAATAGAGTTGTCACAGTGAACACGCTCCCAAGTGCAGCAATCAGAATGATTGGTAACGTTATTCCAAGAAGGAAGAGAAGATCCATGTGGGTGATTGAAGACTTCTTTCAGCTTCACAAGAGCTTCTCTCTCTTCTTTCAAGCACCCCTCTCCTCCTCCATTAAATCCTAATAATATCATTATCACGACTACCACCACCCACAACGCTTGTTCTCTCACTAAATATCCCATTTTTCAGTATATATGCTTCGTTATTTGTGTGTGTCTTCAATTGCGTTCTTGTTCATCTATTTATAACGGCGATGAGGAAATTTCATTTTTGCTATTCCAAAAGATCTTATTCGTGGAGAAAAGGTAGATGATAATCGTTTGTCTGTTCTATATTACATCGGACGGTCTGGAATGGTCACACAGAAATTTTTTGTATCCAGACTCATATTCTTGGAGTAATTAACACGATGAAAATTAATTTTGGAGGATTTGTCCACCTTAGCCGTAATTTCCATTTTCCGTAAGTTCTTAAATGTTTATCTTTTTGAACCAATCAGGAAAAAGTGTTACTACAGAACAGCCAATATAGAATGCCTAGCTTCCCGCAGTGTGACATGGGAAAACATAGAAAATCTATAAAAGACTTCCTGATTACTGTAAAAATATGTAGAAAATACTTAAAATATGAAAATGACAACATATGCTGGTCCAAAACTTTTAGTAGACCGAATTGTAGTCACTTAAACACAAAATCTTTTATATTTAAGTCTGTGTAAGTATGGAAAACATTTTTCGAAGATTTGCTCCAATTTAGACTCAATAAAGCTCGAATATGCTATAGTATTATTGAATATTAGATAGATATATAAAAAATACTTAAAATAAGATAGCCTTTTAAAATAAATAAAATATAATAAAAAAAGAGAGTATAATACAGTGACCTTCTTTCCATTTTGCTAAAATTACAGAGATCTCCTCTTTAATTTTAATTTTAAAACCTACACTTTAATCCAATATTTAACCTCAATAGGAATATTCTGTTAAAAACTCTAAAATACTTAATTTTTTATTTATAATTATGTTAAAAACTTTAAAATTATTAATTTTCCCTAATCGTCTAATTGTCTACTCTCTCTCCAAATTTAAAAAAAAATTAAATAATTAATTATATCAATATTTAAATAAATAATTTAAAATTTTTATGTTAAAATCATTGAAATTTAAATACAAATAAATGTAAATTATATTGAGTAATTTATTATATTAAATTCTTATTTCATAAATGTATTTAATTGTGTTTGAATATTATTTTAACCAATTTATGGATTTAATTCTTTTATAAAATTACTAAAGAAATACATTTACATAACTAAAAAATTAAAATATAAATAAAAAATTAAAAAATATTAGCATTAAGTTTTTGGGTAATTTTATGATTTTTAAATAATATTTATCTTTAAATAAAGATATGTTGATTCAACATATGTGACTTGACATTCAACTAATGATTGAATGAATGAGAATAAAATCTTAAAAATAAAGAAAATGTTTGTATTTTGTTACTACTCATACTAGAGAAGATACATATAAGTTTTCAAAATAAAAGAGAAATATATGTAATTGAGGTAAAATAGAGAGGAATTAAAGTATTTTACTCTAATAAAAATGAAAGAAAACATATGAAACTAAGAGATCAACATAGCTTGAAAAATGGCGTGAAGATAAGGCGCTTGTTTTCTATTTTTAAAAATAAAAAAAAATTATTAGTTAAGTGTTTTGAATTTAAATATTTACATAACTACTCCCTCTGTTCAAAAATATAAGACATTTTTAACCAAATCTTACCTCCAATAAAATAGTTACCTACTTTCAACTAACCCTATCTTTTTATATTTACCCCTATTAAACATTCTATATAATAAATATAAATTTATTATCAACAGAGGCACTTTAAAAAAAAAAACAATGATTACACTTCGAAAGACTAAAAATACTTTATATTTTTTAATATCCAACTTTTTAAAAAATACTTTATATTTTTGAATGGAGGAAATATTTTTTTTTTTTTTTAAAGCTCAATCCATTTAACTATTGTAAATTATATTTAGCTAGAATAAACTACTAGGCCATCATTATTAACCACTGAAAATTAGTATAATCAAACAGATTTTCATTTTCTTTATTTGGAAAAGTAATTTTTAAAAATTTATTTACATAATAGTTTTGGGGGGGAAAAAGAAGTGATCAAATCCAGACAAGCCTTAAATATTCCTTACCCGAAAGACACGATTCTGTTGGACTTGACCTATTCATGATCTTGACAGTTGATAAAAATGTTCACCGCACAAGTTTCACTTTATTAATTTCTCATCACAGCTATTCAAAATCAGCGCTGAATTTTTGACTTATCAACACAATCAACGACTTTATTGTAGACGAGACAATGATGCCAGAAGTAAACTACACGTCAAAAGTCTTCCATACGTTTGTCTGTAAATTTTATGTTATGATTTAGTCCCTTATAAAATTGGAAAGATACAGATGGGATTAGTATGGCTCCTGCATACAGATGACACGCACAAAGCCATAAATATTATGGTTAATTAAGATAATAACTACATTAATATTAAACTAAATCAAATTTTCATTGAACTTGATGTCCTGTTTGTGCTTTGGTTTACTTTTAGATAAAATCTTACATACCAATAAAACTCATTAAATACACTTTACAACCTTACTTTTTCAAAACAAAAATATAAAATTTTAAAAATGTCCTTCATTTCATACTTTATTGATAAAAGAATATTGAAGAAAGAAATATATGAGAAGGCTAATATTAAAAAAGAATTATTAATGAAACCTTATTTTTATAAAAATGTTTTATATTTTAAGACATTGAATCTTCTTTAAAAATATCCTATAATTTGAAACGGAGGAAGTATATTATAAAATTCATATCTGTTTTTTGTCATTATATATCTAAGTTAACATTTGAATCAAATCATTTAAATAAATTTTAATTTGTCTAATTAACTTTTAAAAAAGGATTAACATGTAATTTGAACCTCAAACTATAGATTCAGGGGAGATTTGAACCTTGAACTTTTAAAAGAAATATTATGAACCCTAGACAATTAAAGTTAGAACAGTTTCACTCCACTATTAAATTTAAACAAACATCCATTAGTTTTTTTAAAAAATGAAGCCTAATGTGCGATTGTCCTCAAATGAGAGTAGAAGAGAAAGGAAAAGTAAAATTTGATAAAAATCTCACATTAAGCCCCAATTTAAAAAAAAAATAACAGATGTTTGTTTAAATTTAATCACTAGAGATGAAATCATCCAACTTTAATTGTTTAAGATTCAGAATGTATCTTTTAAAAGTTTATGGTTTAAATCGCCCCTAGACCTATCGTTCAGGATTCAAATTGCATATTAAAATTTAAAAAAAATTCAAATATAAATCACATTACAATCATATACTTTTATATTAACTTTAATTTGCAAGCCTCAATTCATTCTAACCTTAGTTGTGGATTTTTTTTAATCCAAACACATCCTAAATCTTCTCTCAAATGTTCCAGTTCATAACTGGCGTAGATTTGCAGTCGTTCACTTGGTCTCATGACTCTCAACTGTTCCTCACCCCAAAATTCATGATGGGTCGTAATAACCTCTTAATTTCTCATCCTGACAGTTGCTAATGTTCCCCCAACAAGTTTTATTTTTATTTTTATTTTTTTACAACAGAGAAGTTTTATTTTCATATCACAACTATATATTGAAAATCAGTGCATGTGCTTTTGATGCGTTCTTGCACAATCAAACAAACAATGACCCGTCAAAGGGACCCTGTGCGAAGTCAGACTTGATGGTTCCATGGTTGCCGGAAAGTAAACTACACGTCTAAAGCCTTCTATACGTTATCTATAAATTAAATGCTGTGGTTAATTGGGGTAATAACTTGGTGCACTAATATTAAACTAAACCAAATTTTCGTTGAACTTGATTAATTACCCAACGATTCCAATGCGCCAAGAATAATACAACAAAAAGTCAGAAAATAGGTTAACATAACTAATCTGGCTGATAAAAATTTTACGTATAATTTACAAATCGTGGGTTCAAATTTTGTTACTAATGTCAGACCTTATTAGCAAACAATTCTCCATCTGGATCACAATATGTTATAAAAAAATTAAGTAAAACCTTAATTTCTTAAAACATTGTATATCTTTTCAATTATATCTCATTAAATATCTTATATAAGTCCCATAATAATCACATAAACATATCATAATAATAAAAATTGAAATTTCAACAATCATTTTTTCCAAAAGAATGATAAATGAAGTAGGGGTATTATTAGAAAAAGCAATTATAAAAATAACCTAATGTCCTATATTTTGAATTAAGTTATGCTTCTAGAAGATATCTTATATTGTAGTCCTAAGGGAGAGTGTCCTATATTGTTGTCCTAATAAGCATTCTTTAAACTAGAATTCATACCCTAATAATCTTGGTAAAACCAAAGATATAGCTCACCTAATAAACTTTTTTTCTAAAAAAAAAAGTAAGAAAAATAACTAAATAAGTGATGCCTTGAAATGGGAACGATTGGAATCTAAGTTGTTCATCGAATCCACTTCGAAAATGTTGATTGTGGAATTCTTTTTTTTTAAGGATTGTTCATTGGTTTTATTCTCTTTGTTCATTCTGGGTTTTACATGAAATCTAATAATCAAGTATTATTTAAATAGTCAAGAGTTGTAGTGAGGCCCCTCTTCACACCTTTTCGTTGCCATTTTAACGTTGTTATTCAAGCATGTGCATGTTTGAAGATATATCAAGGATTTATTTTTAAGAGATTCATGTCTCACCTTTTTAAATTCACTCCTAAAATGAGATTAAAATTAAGGAATTACCTGATTCCTTTGTCAATGCAATTTGGTATGTTTATGCACACAGCAATTAACTTTTTTAAAAATGAATTTTTCTGGTAAATAATTATCGTTTGGTGTGGAATCGGCTCTTCTCATCCACTTATTTGATATTCAAATTAAAGATGGTGGTTAATTTTCTGAAACGCCATATATAACAACATTTAATTAATATTAATGAAAAATATATAACAAGCTGTATATATATATTAATATCCGCGGTAAACAATTACGTACGCAGGTCTCGTGCGTTAACTTCCCTGCATTATACATAAATTTTATTTGGTATATTTTAAGAGTTACGATGGATAGCCACATGCATTATATAGAGTTTGAGAAAATGAATCATATTGTCCATAATTTGTTAACAGTGTAATTTGTTGTAAATTTTTTTATTTTTATAACAAAGGAGGGAACTAGCCCAAAGTTAAAAGTCAAAGAGGTTGGGAATTTAATCCCATAACATCATGTTGAATCATAGCCCGTAAGAAAATAGGGGCAGAATCAAAAATTCTAGAAACTGACAAACCATGTTTAGCTAACAAATCTGCAGCACTGTTTGCTTCTCTTGGAATGAAGCTTAAATAAAAATCCTCTCGAGCTCTCAGAAAATCTCTAATTTCCATGTTGAATTTTGTTGTTAATTTAATGTGTAATAGTTTTTTACAATAACTCTAAAATTTGAATATGTTTTGACATATGTCCCAGTACTTTTTTCCATTGTCCTAGATTGCTCTAGTTTTTCTTACCTACAACATTAGTCCCTTTATTGTTAAATATGTTCAGAGGGATGATGATATGGTGCTAACAGTAATGAATATGTTGACTTGTCACTTAGAGGTGATAACCCAAATAAGCACAAAAAGATTAAGGACTAGGTTCAATAAAATAATTATTATTTGCGAGAAAAAGCTTTTAACAAACTCTCTTGAGACTTCATTATGATACCCTACAAGCCATTGGACTTAATGATCACTTCAGGAAGCTCATCCTGGCGGCTGTATCTACCTCAGATGAAAGTCCTTTGCAATGAGATCCTTCACATGAGTTCACAACTAATATAATATATATATATATATATATGTGTGTGTGTGTGTGTGTGTTTAATTGGAGTATTATTATTTAACTAATATAATGTATATATGTTTTAATCAGGGTATTCTTGTATTTTTATCTTAATTTTAAATTACACTCAAGTCTCAAAAAATTTAATTGTAGTTTTTAAATTTTATAAGATTTATTTATAAATAAGTTAGTTTCATGAGACTTATATATAATTTTTTCCTAAAATATATAAAAGTATTGATATTTGACTATGAAAAAAGTAATATTTGAATAAAAAAGTCATTGACTCTCAAGTAAATGAACTATTCATCAATAAAATCTTGTACATATCATATACAAATATTAATTATAAAATTTTTGAAAAATAAAATACAATAGCATTAAAGATATTAAGGGATTTAGATCTAATTTATGATTCACAATTTAGAAGTGGGAAAGGGCGGGTAAAGAAAATAAAATAATAGTAAAATCCAACTCAAGTCAACTCATTAAACTCACTAAGTTGTCAGATTTTTTCGGGTTAAAACTAAGTCACAAACTGACAGTTTTGTTTAGTCAACTAACAGCTTGCCTGTTTAAAATCAAAAAATAAGTGATTTATAAAAAATAAATTTATTTTTTAGAGATTTTATAAAAAAATTATTATTAGTTACTTATTTTTAAATTTTATGATATCTTCCTTAATTTTTATTTTATAAAAATAATTTATTATTATATTATATTAAAATTTTATAATATCTTTATGTGTCCCACTTATTTAAAACACTCTTTCCACCACATTAGATTATTTTTAAAAGTTACTCAAAGTAGCTTCTTAAAATAATCAAAAATATATTTTTTTGCTATTTTAATTATTTTTAAAAGTTTAAACAAATATTATAAAAACTCAAAATAATTTTTTTCAAAAAATAAGTGATTTTTCATGCAATAAACTAAAACAAACAGGCCTTAAGTTGCCTAAGTAACCGGTTCACTAGTCAACCTAACCAGGTATACCTGAGTTTGCAAAAAATTATGAAACCATTAATTTTAGCAGCATAAAAATTTTTAACACTGTTTTTCAAGACCTCAAAAGTAGAAGTGTAAACAATTCTAAATTTACATAACTAATAAATGTGAAATAAAGATTGAAAAACTTTTACACTTTTTTAAGACACTCAAAAGTAGAAGTGTAAACAGTTCTAAATTTACATAACTAATCTTGAATTCTTGATTGTGTATGATTGTTGTAAAGATTAGCTTTAATAACATTGAGAATCTAAAACATTTTTTTAAATAAACTAGATAAATGAGGCAAAGAATTTATAAAAATTCATAAAGATTAAATTTAAAAAAAATCTCCACTTCAACTATTATCTTCCATTACAAAATTTTTGCCACTACCATTGGTTGAACTAGATCATTTTATTATCTTGCATGTTATCACTTATCAATGTCCTCTTCGGGCTATATACTTACAAATCCAAACATAGGAAACAAAGTTGTGCTGTCAAGATTTTAAAAAGTATGGTTGACATCAATTTTAACTCAATATTACAATGAAAAAATAGCAATCAAGGATCTCAATATCAAATTAATATTAATGATCAATTGACTTTAAAATTACAATGCAGTCCCTTAGTCCTTAACTGATATTAATATGTGATGTCAATAGACCAAATCACCCTTAAAATTAAAAAAAACCACTTCCCCACGGTCGCTAGACCGCCATTGAACCCCTGTCAGCAGCAAAGTCGCCAAAGCCCCTACCACAGGCAAGTAGCTAGTGGTTAGCAGTCGAAGCTCTAGTGCCAGAGATATTTTTATTCAAGAAATATTTGGTTTAGGTGGCCAAGGGAGGGTTTGATCCCATGACCCATTGGCCACCTAAAAAGCTTGGTGGCTTTAATATATGCAAATATATATATATATATATATATATATAAGTAGTAAACCAAGCCTCTACACTTTCATTTTATAATATAATGATGTGTTATTAATTCATGAACTGCACTTGTTATTTACTAACGTTACTTGTTAATCTAACATGGACAATTAAAAATTGAAAGCTTTTAAAATTTATGCATATTACTTGTTAAACATTTAAATGTATTCTTAATCACTGATAAGTTGTTGTCAAAATTTAAACGAATACTTATTGAAGAAGGACTAACACATACAATTAAATTCATCCTATCAATTTTTCTAACTTTATAAAACTTGAATAAATTGTTATTAATTTTAAATGAGTTGTTATGAAAATATAAATATATACTTGTTGATAAAGGACTAACACTTGTATAATTATACCCATCCTATTTGTTTTTTTAACTTGTTAAAGCCCGAATGGAATATTGTAAATTTAGAATAACTTGTTATAAGAACTCAAATGGATACTTATTAATGAAACACTGACGCGTACAATTATGCCCATCCTATATGTTTTTTAGCTTGTTAAAGCTTGAATGTATTGATATTAATTTAGAATAAGTTGTTAAAACTCAAATAGATACTTGTTGATAAAAAACTAATACATACAATTATGCCTATCCCATTTGTTTTTCTAGCTTGTTAAAGCTTGAATGGATTATTGTTAATTTAGAATGTCTTGTTGCTAAAACCTGAATGGATACATATTGATAAAAGACTAACACATAAAATTATGTACATTCTGTATATTTTTCTAACTTGTTAAAGCTTAAATAGATTATTGTTTACACATTTCTTCCATTTGACAACAGTCTATTCAAGCTTAACAAGCTAGAAAACTGGATATGATAGGCATAATTGTACGTGTTAGTCTTTTATCAACAAGTATTTATTTAAATTTTAACAATAACTCATTCTAAATTAACATCGATCCATTTAAGCTTTAACAAACCAAAAAAACATATAGGATGGGCTTAATTACACATGTTAATTTTTCATCAACAAATATTCATTCGAATCTTAACAAGAAACCATTGCAAATTAATATAAGTAAATTCGGGCTTTAACTTGCTTTAACAAGTTAAAAATATATATACGATGGGCTTAATTGTACATGTTAATTTTTTATCAATAAGTATTCATTCAAATTTTAACAAAAATTCATTATAAATTAATAACAATCCATTCGGACTTTAATAAATTAAAAAAATTGATACAATAAGCTTAATTGCACATGTTAATCTTTCATTAACAAATATTCATTTAGATTTTAACAACAAATCATTCTAAATTAACGGCACTTCATTCAGTCTTTAATAAATTAGAAAATGAATAAAATAAGTTTAATTATACAAGTGCTAGTCCTTCATCAAAAAATATACATTTAAATTTTCATAACAATTTATTCAAAATTTATAACAATCTATTCAAGTTTTAACAAGTTCAAAAAACTGATAGGATAAACTTAATTGTATATGTTAGTGTTTACTCAACAAATATTCGTTTGAATTTTGACAATAACCTATTGGTAATTAATAACAATATATTTGGATGTTTAACAAGTGATATGCATGAAATTTTAAAACTCTCAATTTGTAAAATAACAAGTAATATTGGTAAAATAACAATTCCAGTTCATAAATTAACAACACACCGTGATGTTATAAAATGAAAGTGATTAGAAACTTTGTTTACTATTTTTTTTTCACATATATAATTAAAGGGTTGAATGGCCAAGTTGTTTAGATGGCCAAAGGATCATAAAATCAAACCCTCCCTTATCCACCTAAATCAAATATTTCTTGAATAAAAATATCATCGGTGCTTGAACTCTAGCAACCAACCACCAATGGGGTCGGGTCGTCAACAACAAGGGCTTCGGTGACCTTGCCGCTAGCAACAATTCAGCACCTGATGCCAACAATGATAGGAAAGTGGCTTTTTTTTTCTTTTTCTTTTTTTTTTACTTTTAGGGGCAAATTGGTCTTTTGATATCACAAATTAATATCAATCAAGGACCAAAGGACTACATTGCAATTTTAAAATCAATTGGTCCTTGCCTCATATTAATTTGGTACTACAGTCCTTGGTTGTTATTTTTCCTATTACATTCATGGCTTTTAAAAAATCACAAATATCATACATTTATAATTAATATATATCAAACATAATATAATATTAAAAAAAATTAACAACTTGCACTACTTTTAGCCATAAATAGCACAACTCATTTCTCACACTCTACATATTGAAAAAGACACATGCCAGTTTCATTCGGAGCCTGATATCAAACACCGAATTCAAGTGTTTTCTATGTAGAATCAACATCACAGGCTTACGGTTTGTTCACAGGAAACTGCATGCAATTTATGGAACATGAAATGTTAGTATCTAGCTAACTAGCTTTAAGTTCAGTGTTTAAGTTGAGAAAGGAAAGATCAGTTAAATGACTCATCATTAACATCAGAAGTCAGAATATTGTACATAGTATGGACAAACCTAAAAGCCATATACCATTAGAACATGAAAATATCAGGAGAGTTATTTTATCAGAGAAAAGACATATGCCAGAAAGGTTTCATGGTTTCATGTGTGTTTGACCACACCACCCATCAAAGCCAGCATCCTCGTGCTTGGGTTGGGTTACTTTGAACTCTAAAGTCACCTGTGAAAAATTAGTGAACAAGTCCATCATCAACGAGTTTCTTGTGCAAGTGAAAGAAAGCAGCTTCAATACTTAAAAAAAAAAAAAAAAAAAAAAAAGATCAATAATGCAATGACAGGTTCTTTTGGAATTTTGACTTCTTTTTTTACTGCTCACTCCTTTTATTGAAGACAATCTTGCTCAAAGTACAGTTAAGTATTAAATCCAAATGCTTTTCTCAAAAGAGATTCAAATCTTGATCCATCACATCATGAAAGAATAACCTCTTTCACTAGACCCAACCTCTCCTGGTTTGCTAGTTTTGGTTCATCTATTCAATTATCAATGTAATATATAAAAGTAGAATTGGATACATGGCCTATCATTTGCCATCTAAAATATTATAATACAAAGTAACAAGCCTTGCCTCACTAAATGAAGTTTGATTACATGGATTGAGCGATGTCAATGTGCTCACTGTCTGTATCTTTTCATAGGGATAAAAACTTTTCTTCAACTCTTCCTGCTCCCACCTCTCTTAGCCTTGTTTACACATGTCCAAACTGATAGAATTTCGAGATAATGGGTGATTTTGGAAGATAGATATTATAAATAAATATTATTTTTAATTTATTTTAGATATTTTCTATTTAGTAATATTATTTAGACTTTATTTAGGTATTTAGTAATATGAATCTGTGGTCGTACAATAAAAACAAGATAGAAATGATTGTATGCGAGGAACATTGGCATGGCACCAATAGAGGACAAACTAGCAAAGAATCGGTGGGTTTGTGATAGGATTCAAGATAGGTAGAGAGAAATAAAGAAGATAAATCTCTATTAATATATGAAATCAGAATCTAATTTCATAATATTAATAAGGGAATATAGAACTGATAGAAGAAAGTAGAAAAAATAAATATATTAAGATGATGTAAAACAAGAATCTCATTCTATATTTCTCTCAATAGCCATGCTTAGGAGAATAAAACAAACTTTTGAGACTTTTGGCCTTTTGAAAATTCTCCTAAGCATGGCTATTGAGAGAAATATAGAATGAGATTCTTGTTTTACATCATCTTAATATATTTATTTTTTCTACTTTCTTCTATCAGTTCTATATTCCCTTATTAATATTATGAAATTAGATTCTGATTTCATATATTAATAGAGATTTATCTTCTTTATTTCTCTCTACCTATCTTGAATCCTATCACAAACCCACCGATTCTTTGCTAGTTTGTCCTCTATTGGTGCCATGCCAATGTTCCTCGCATACAATCATTTCTATCTTGTTTTTATTGTACGACCACAGATTCATCTTAATATTCTCATCCTTGCTTACCATATTTTTTTGCTATTGTTGTCTCTTCAATATCCAATATTTACTACTATATGACATCACTAGTCTCACAGCAGTTCAATAAAATTTCCCTTCCAGCTTAGTAAGCACTAAAGCCTTTACGCTTGGCAGGCAGGCACTTTGCAGTCACATTATAACTCAATATGAGATCCAAAAATCACAGGTGGAATATTACAACGCACTTGAAAGTCATCCGCTTGCTCATCCCCTCTCATTTGTCAAAAAAATTGAACCCATTGTAACTGATGACCAGAAACCCAATGCCAAGAAATATAATCTTTCTGGTGAACCACCAGACTTTCATTATTCTTAATTATTCTTCTTGAATTCGGGCACTTAGAGGTCAACCACCTAGGGCTCATCAAAGCCAGAATAACCTCTCATCCTTGTACTTTAGGCTTTGTTTGGGATTTGGATGGTAAAAAGTTTTGCTATTTTTAGAAGCTTCCCTTCCAAGTATTCTCTTCCCCATATTTCCCCCCCTATCCAAACAAAGGGTTAGTAAAAACACGAGATTTATCAGTGATTTGTACAAACAAGCATGTTAAGCAGCCCTAATTCTTGAGTAGCTTGTTGGTAAGAAGCTTTAGTGAGATTCATGTTTGCTTGAAGGTGAGATCTTTCAACTCCTAATTTCTCAAACACATTGAAGTAACCAAGAAAACAGTATCTCTCGCTTTCAACCTTACCCTTAGGGATAAGTTCATGGATTTGGTTCTGCAACTATAGAAATATAAAATGTTCTTGACAGTTAACAAATAATAGTACTATTCATCGCTAGGCCAAATCCCATATTCAAACTCACTGTTTTTTTTTTTTTTTGCCCCCAAAAATCCAACCCAAATGAACCCCCTTTGGTTGTTCCCCAAAGCTCTGGTATATGGATTCAATAAACTCCGCATGATAAATGACTAAGGATTGATTTAATTTGAATTCATGCCCTTGGAGAACTAACTTTAATTAAAAAAAAAAAAAACTCAGACAACTCCTTCACCAAAATAATAATAATAATAATAATAATACATGAAAAAAATGAAAACTCAGGTAACGCAATTGACTTGCCAAATTTCAATTATGGGTCATCCAAAGGCAAGGGCTTCTTAAATGGCAAAAGGCTCTCAACCTTCAGAGCCTCAGTCATAAAGAACTTGGTTGAAAAGTCTGGCAAATGAGAGAGAAGCCCCGATGGCTCAACTACGTGAACAAATTGAGAGGGGTGATATTTTGGGCAAATGGGAGAGGAGATGGCTAGACATGGCTTTCAAGTGTCTCACAAATGATTTTTCAATTTTATTTGGCATTCCAACATCCTACAAGGCAAATGATAAGCAAGTGCCATGATGTCAAATAAATTGCCCAATCAGCATTTTTCTTGTTAAGTTATTCACAGATCAGTTCCAGAAGAGTTTAACAGAAGCGTTTTTAAATAATCAATGGGGAAACTTAGCTTTAAATCAACGGAGACAAATTGATTTCTAAGCCAGGGAGACCAAAATTGTATTCAAGTACTTGGACTTCCTTCTAGGAACATTTTAATTTACACTTCAGTAGGAATATGTGCCTCAGATTTCCATTCGTCAACACATAACTTTATGAATCATATTGAATATGAAATTCACGAGCAACATCAAGCACTCAATTAATCTAGTTAGTTACCGATGGGATTAGCCATCCAAATCAGCCCACCCCTATTACTAAAGCCTAAAGTAGCGGACCAAAAGCAGAAACAGGATTGTTCAATTTGAGAATTTTAAGTTTGTCAGTGAGGATTTCATCCACAATTTGCACACAAAATATTAGCGTCCTAGAGTTTATAAATTGGTGTCATTTAAAGTACAGCACATATTCACAGACCACCGCTTATCACCTGTGCTAGAAGGTTCGCCCAAAAAAGAAGTTGGCCAAAAGAAATAACCTTTGCTAGAAGAAAGTCACGTGTCCAGCCATGATTTAGCATAATTTATTTTCACTATTTAGAATTTATTTTGCATGCTTTAAGTGCTCCTCAAGTTGAGGAGCCTGTTATGTTAGTGGTTCAGTCCGTATCTCATTTTCTGATATCTTTATTACTTTAATTCAGCATGTGCAGGTCTGTTATGCCACTTTTAGTGTCAGTTTCTTAATGGTCCAGATATTCTAGAGAGTTTGGCTAATTCTTTAGCCTATAAATAAGTCGTTTGATAGCATGTAAAGGACGTCTTTGATTTATAATCAGAATTTCCTCATTTTCCCAGAGATTCTCCATTGACTACTAGCTTTCTTGTTCAAATTAAGTCTAGTGGATTTTTCTTTTCTATTCATACCTTAAATTCTCCAAGCCATATCTTCAGCCAAACTTTACAGGATGAACTAAAAAGTAAATCATCACAGTTACAACATGAAAAGAGCCATTCAATGATTGCTTTGATTTGAGAGTAAGAATTTACTTTTCTTTTAATGCAACTAATAACCATCAATCAACTAGTATTTCTTTCTAAACGAGCACAAGCATGTAAAACAGTTTAAGGAGGCCACAGAAATAAAAGAAATTCTCACCTCCTTGAAAATGTTGCTACACGAAGTTTGCACAAAACCCTACACCAAACCAATGAGGCATGTCAATCTCGGAGAACTAAACAGCTATTTGTAGCTAGGAAAAAAATCTTTTTAATCCTAGAAAGAAAATGTCTGCCCATGAAACCCTGTACACTATTCAATCAATCTTGAATTACAAATATTTCAGATAAAGTATTCAGAGAAAGGGGGTGGTCAATGGTCAAAAGGAGGAACAATTTGTCCAATTAAAGCATTAACTTGTGCGATAACCACGCAGAAAAGTTATGTGCATGGTTCTAAGACCTATAGTGTTGTCTAGCAAACAGTATATGAAAATGGGGAAACAAACAAACCAATTTTTGGAACATGGCAAGGGATGCAGCATTTGATTCGCCAATTTTGGCCCGGAAGATGTTGATCCCTAACTTATCAATTGCAAAGGCCATCATCATCACAACAGTCTCCTTTCCAAGTCCTTTACCACGGCTATGCTAGCAAAAAACAAGCTATAGAAAATGAGTACAAGAAAATGTAATACTCTAAACTCAAGCTGTCCCAATGACAGCACCACTTCCCTCTCTTGGAAGAGGTCCTAGTTCGAACCTGGCATTGACATGTTTGTGCGCGTAAATGGATGTGTGTGCATGTCCCTTTCCTATGGGGAAGGGCTAGGTTAGAGGTGAAATTTAAGGGGGGGAAATAACATAATATGTCAACTTTTTAAAATGTTTCATGGTCTGGAATATTTTATACGCTTGGCTCAATATAAGGCTATTACTGAACTTGCATAAAAAAAAAAGCCATATTCCAAATAATTTTGAGACATGTTTTCCAACCATTACCAATTAATATATCCTCTGTTTATTGTATATATGAAGTCATTAACTCGAGTCTAAATATGGTAAAGCAACTACCGCATCTCAACTTACATAGATAGACAGAAGCCTTGCCTCTCTCTCTCTCACTAAGGACCCCCACCCAAGAAAAATGGAAATTCACTTGCTCTAGAATGACGGAAATATGGGACAAAGATAGAACATGGAAACAGCTAAAAAACAAGTATGCTTATGAAAATATAAGGAACAGGCAATGCAATTATGATAAAAAGCCAAGCCAATTACCTCTTTGGTTCAGCTATCATTATCTCAATCTCCGCCATCTGAGGATCATCCAAGTCATTCATGAATATATTTACATCCCCAACCATAGCTGAAAAGGGGGCATATTAATAACTCCCTTTAACAAATTATTTTGAGGTTCTAAAATAGGAAAATGGGTCAGGAAAAATGTATAGCTTTCTATTTTTCAAAAACCTTTCTATTTTTCAAAAACCATCAAAAAAATATTTTGACAAATAATATACATACCCCTCATAAAATGAGCGATTACTATTATTTGCCAACAAGAACAAAATATGATGAACATAAAAAGGTGATGGATTTTTAGTAACTTCTGGATCTTTGATTAGCCAATGCATGATTCTTCTAGCAAAATTCATTAGTAATTATCACTGTTTGTCAACAAGAATAAAATATGATGGCATAGAAGTTGAGGGATTTCAGTTGCCTCTGGAAAAATGCCAGCAACAGTAACCTACCACGACAAGAATATGCAGAGAACATAATTCTGAAGTGCCCACTATACAGCAGCCAACTAAATCTAACTCTATTTTAAAATGGTTCTGCTTACATGCTCACAACATACCAATGAAAACTGGCGTCATGCATACACCAGTGATGAATTTATAAAAGGCATTTGTAAATATAGAAAAAAAATGAACTATATAAAAAACTATTCCATAATAGTTAGTGATAAACTGTCAGTGCTTGATTACTTGTTCTAACCTATGTTTCGCCAATAACAACGTTGTAGAGGATTCAGATGGAAAAGGTGGTAGCAGTTCTGGTGAAAATGTCTTGCCTTGGGTGAGACATTGGTCATAGGACTTTGATAGATAAAGTGATAACAGAAAAGTTTGTCAAAAAAAAAAACAAAGAACAGCAAAGACAATAATATGCAAGGGCTGGAATTTGCAGATGGGGTTGAGTATCATAGAAGTCGATCAGAATATCAAACTCTTCACTTCTGTGAATTTAGAGATTACGAGATGAGAGAGATTACTGAAAAATGTAGTCAGTAGTTGTACTGATATACCATCTATCATATTCCTAGAGTATGTACAAGACAGCGCAGTGAATGAGAGATAATTATATTCACCTAACAACTACTCTAGATAGCCTAAGGAATATACAATAAATACAAAGAATAAATTCTAATTCTCAACATTCCCCCTCAAGCTGGTGTGTATAGATCATGTGCATCAAGCTTGTTACAAATGTACTTTATTCGAGGTCTCGGAAGAGCTTTGCTAAAAAAAAAATTTTTTTCCTTTCAGCTAAACCATTTTGCTGGGGTGTATAAGCACATGAAGACTGATGAACAAAACCCTCCAAAGATAAATAATGTTGAAATAGGGTAGAAAAATACTCCATTGCATTATCACTTCGGAATATAGAAATAAAAATACCACAATGATTTTTTATTTCGGCACAAAAAGATTGAAACACGGAGAGAACTTCTAAACAACTTTTTATTAAATATAACCAAGTGCAATAGGAATAATCATCAATAGAAGTTAAGAGTATTGAAAACCAAGACTGGACATCACACGACTAAGACCCCAAACATTAAAGTGAACAAGTTTAAAGGGAGCATCAGCTTGATTATTTGACACGACTAGGAAAAAGACCAAGTTTGTCTGCCAACTTGACACGACTCACAATCAAGAGACTGTAAAGTTGAAAGGAAGGCAACCGTCTTCTGTTTTGGAAAGACTAGGATGGCCTAGGGGATTGTGGACCAGATTTGGTAGGATGGCAGAGCAAGCGGCTAGAGATATAGTAGATGGAAAGTATTAAAGTCCCTGTGACTCATGCTCGACGCCAATCAACAGACCCATACTCCAGTCCTACAAGATAATAGAAACGTCACTAAAGGTAATCAAACAATGAAGAGCACAAGCGAGTTGACTAATAGAAATAAGATTGTAAGGACACTCAAGGAGATAAAGAAATTAATAGAAGGAGGAATTGAAGCCTGGCCAATGCCTTTAACAACAGTGAGAGAACCACTGGCAGTGGTAACCGCTAGAAGGGAGATGGAATCAGTAAAATGAGACAAGAGATTCTTGTTACTAGACATGTGAGTAGAAGCACCTAAGTCAATAACCCATGGTCCAAGGGAAGAATGAGCAAAGCAAGCAACAGAATTACCAGTCTAGGCAACAAAGGCGTTTGTCAACTTGGAAACAGAGATACTCTTCATAGTCAGCTCTAGTCAAGAGTATAGAAGCAAGTGGCTGCCTGTCCGTGGGAGTGGAAGAAGTCTTAACATTTTAATATGAGAGGGTCTCCCATGAAGGCCGTAACAATGATCTTGAGTATCACCCAGCTTGTTACAATAAGTGGATTGAGGACGTTTTCTAGGACCAGTACATCCACCCCCACCATGAGTAACTTTGGGAGACCAAAATTGAAGCATTAGAAGTAGGTTTTGGAGAAGCCATATTGTTTAAAGAGACCCACACAAGATGAGCAAGGACATCATCCTGTGCTGGAAGAGATGATCCACCAAGAATTTGGTCTCGAAGATGATTAAGAGCAAGATAAAGATTATATGGAGTAAGAACCGTGAAGAGCTTGTCCCACTCCTTTTCCTGGACATCAAAAGTAGTAGGCATTAGAGAGTGAAATTCTTGGCGGAGGGACTCAATGCGACTAACATAAGTAGTATCATCTTCCTGTTTCAGACTAACAAGAGAGGTAATCACATCAAAATAACAGCGAAAATCATTGATGTATAAGGTGGCAGCCTTACTCCAGACAACAATTCAAGTCTCAAAAGACCAGCAAAGAGGAAGTAACTTGGGATCAATGGAATTCCATAGCAAGGAGCACAGCTGTGCATCAATCTTAACCCAAGCAGATTGCTGAGCCTCAGGAATCTCTGCTTTCCACTTAGTCAGGTGGTCCAAATGTCCCTGTCCTTTGAACCAAAGACGAACTGATGCAGCCCAGGACTTGTAACTTGAAGGCCCACATAACTTCTCAGTGGTAATCATAGGAGTTCCATTGAAAATAGAAGAAATGGCACTGGACTTAGAATCTAAAGCAGAAATCGCTCAAAAAAAGTGAGAGGCTAGAATGAAACACAACCCAAAAAAATCACAGGAGTGGCTTTGATACCATGTGAATTTAGAGATAATGAGATGAGAGTGATTACTGAAAAACGTAGTCAGTAGTTGTAGTGAGAGAAAATTATAGGGCATGTACAAGACAGAGCAGTAAGTGAGAGAAAATTACATTCACCTAACAACTACTCTAGAAAGCCCTAGGAATATAGAAAGAATAAATTCTAACTCTCAACAACTTCTAATACAACTCTCAAGTGTGTGATCTATTCTACGGAATTTTATGGGCGTCCCACCAACAAAAGCTCTACATTAAATAATTACTTTGCAAGAAATATTATTCTACAGAATATTATGAATGTCCCACCAACTAATCATGTGCAAAGGAATGTCCCGTAATCTATTGGATATGGGCTATTAGGCCAGTGCCTATGTTGCAAACTTCTTTTAAGTATCCTTGTGGGATAGGCAGAATATATTAAATAAGAGAAGAGGTCGGTTCAAATTGAGTCATATAAGTCCAATGTAGCTACTGATGATTGCAAAACTTTGTGTTTGTTAAATCTACCTACTGGCAGATTGATAAGTGCTCTTGCTTCCTTTGTTTATAATGAACATGTATCAGGACGAAAAGAAACTGTTACGAAAACTTTTATAAAAAAATCAATAAAATAGCATTTATAAACCTGCAAAATACCTAAAACAAATAAGTTGCTTGAAACAAGAACACTTCTCTGTAATATATACTGGTTTGCCAAATATGAACAGTTCATCCAAATCAAAGAAATGATACAATATTGAGCATTTGAGCAGTAATAATTAAAATGAAATAGGAGACATATTTGATGGAACATGTAATCTGAGGAACATGATTGCTCCAGATAGGGAGCATAAGAGCTATCAAGTGAAGAATTTCTTTTCTCTTTATAGAATCAAAAGCAAATCCAGAGAGTCACAAGCATGAAATTCTGTTCTCCTTTTCTCTCTTCAATTTTCTCTCAACCTAAAAGAATTTCAAAATTATGATGGCTGAAAATTTAAGGTACCTTCAACATGGGGTTCTCCATGTGTAAACTCTCCAACAACCAAGTCCTTATCCAACACAATGAAGGTTTGCTCTGTAAAAAAACCAGCCATAGCGCTCCTCAGGACATCAAAATTGAAAGATAAAGCAAAAACCCCCCTGCCTGATGACAATGTTTGGAAATAAAGCCATTTCCATACTGTTCATGCCAATTGCAAGAAAGTTTACCCCGAAACAAATTGAAATAAGAAAAAAAGAAAACTCAATGCACAAACTCTGTCTTTCACGAATGTAAACAAAATGGGATAGAATACCCGTTAAGAAACCAACTCTGGAAAAACCATCCACAATCTACTCGGTACATCAAAATTCAGAAATAAATGGAAAGGATAAAAACATCGGATGAAGAAAACGTTTGAAAATACAGCCATTTCCCACAGTGTTCAATTAAATAGACATTAACTTCCACAAATATCCACAAAAGGGAAGAGAGAAAGGAGAAAAAGAGTAACTGTCGGGGTCTTGTGACCATGAAAGCTGCATCTGGTATTCCTGATCGAGGGTAAGGGGCTCAGACCCTGTAGCTTCAAGAAGTGACGGGTCTTGCATCCACTGGTGATACTTCGGCACGTGAGCTTCCGTGTATGGCACCAATATCACTTTCTCTCCTTCTAAGCTCACTCTCTCCTTGCTTCTCTCCTGAGTGCGATTCAAGCCGCTCTCAAGCTCCGTAGCCATGGCCATGGCCGAAAACAAGGGTCAGCTAAGCTTTTGGCGAGCATTCCCGAAAACCGTTTACTTTTGAAAAAATAAATAAATAAATTCAGTTTTTTGGCCATTGTGGGAGTGAATAATAGAGTGATAATTCGAGCCAGTTCCGATGGATTAGATCGATTCCGTCTGCAAAATTTTGACGTCGGGTTCAGAAAGAAAAAACATATTTTTTCTCGAATAAGTTTAAAAAATTCGAACCAGGATCGATCATATTCAAATTTTACTCGAATATCCAAGTAAAAAATATATCTTTAACCTGAATAAAATATTTTAAATACATAAATTTAAAATGTGGCATTTAAAATTTAAAATTTAAATTCAAATTCACCAATTTGAACACTACCAAGAGAAAGAAAAAATAAAAAAGAACCAAAATAAATCCTTTCATAATATTCAAAGGACCCAAAAATTAAAGTTTAGGATTGAAAAACCTTATGAAGTAACTTAAAAAGTCTTAAGTTATAAACTTATCCTCCAAAGTTTTCTCATATGATAATTCTTGATACTGAAAAGGTATTTTAGAGTAGGTTTGATAATAGAAGTGGAGTGAAAATTCCAAGCTTTGGTACCAATTGATACAGAATAGGGAAGAAGAAGAGGGAAGATAATATAAAAAAGAGAGAAAAGGAGTAAAGACAATATAGTGAGAAGAGAGAAACTCAGAGAAAATGCAAGATAATAGTAATGCTCAAATGTTTATACCAATTAAATGAGTTGAGGTGTTATTTAAAAAAATAAATGTATGAATATCCAAGAAATTCTAAAATTAAATAAAAAGATAATAATAAATGAAAAGATAATAATAAATGCTGAAAGATAATAATAATTTAAGTTAAAAAGAAATAAGCAAAGATATTATAAGGATATTATAAATTTGAAGATCGAAAAAATTTTGCTCTCATATTAATTAGGCATATTTTATTTTATTGTTATCTTTTAACATTTATTATTATCTTTTTATTTAATTTTAGAATTTTTAAAATTTTCATGCAATTATTTCTAGGATTAGGTTGAGACCTATAAATAGCAACTCAACTTATTTGATTTGTACGCACATTTGATTGAATAAGAATTACTATTATTTTGCCTCTCCTCTGAATTTCTCTCCTGAGAGTTTTGTTTTATTTTTATTAAATTTTATGTTTTTCTTTTGTAATTTTTTTTCTTGAACCTTTTATGTAATTTTCTCATATAACTTTGTAAAAAAAAAATACGCACAAGCTGAGAAGCTGAATATTGCAGCTTTGAAAAAAAAATCACTTTTGGGAAAAAGTTGGTGTTTGAGTAAATTATGGATTAATTAATTTTTTTGCCCCTAAAATCGATTAATCCCTCAATTCAAACAAGCACTAAGTCAACAATGATACATGAGTACCTTTAACTTTATAAAAGAGGCTAACCAATCCCTAAGTTTGGGTAATTCAAGTGAATAGACTTATTTAAAATGGGCTTATTTGGATCAAATTTAAATTACCTAAATATAAAAAAGGCCAAATAATCGAGCCTAGCTGTAACACCTCGAGTTTTTAGAATGCTCGTATACCCAAATTATTGTTAACTATTATTTTATTTTTCTTTTTAGTCAATTTTAATTTTCATCTTAAAAATTTAAGATTTTTAATTTTTATCTAATTTTAATTTAATTTTATTAATAATAAAAAGAATTTGAAAATTTGGGTTAAGTTCATTTAGATTCGAGGTTGGTCCAAATTTCTTCAAGCTTATTTTGACAGCTTGAATAAGCTCAACAACAACAACAAGCCTTTATCTTACTAGGTGGGGTCGGCTACATGGATTGCAAGACGTCATTGTGCTCTATCATTTATCAAGCTTTTAGGAATATTATTAATTAAGAGATCGCGTTCAACAACTTCCAAGAGTGTTCTCTTAGACTTTCCTCTACTTCTCTTAATCGGACTCAAAGTTATATGTTCCACTCTTCTCACTGGTGCCTCCCTTGGTCTTCTTTGTACATGCTCAAACCATCTCAACCGATTTTCTATCATTTTTTCCTCAATAGGTGCCACCCTCACTTTTTTGCGTACGTGCTCATTTCGAATTTTATCTTTACGTGTATGTCCGCACATCTATAGTAACATTCTCATCTCTGCTACTCCAACTTTATGCTCTTGCTGTCCCGTTAGAGCCTAGCATTCACTACTATATAACATTGCCGGTCTGATAGCAGTGCCATAAAACTTTCTTTTAAGTTTATTAGGCACCTTACAGTCACAAATAACTCCTTTAGCTTTTCTTTAATTAAACCACCCAGCTTGAATTCTATGTGAAATATCTCCACTGATTTCGCCATCATTTTGAATAATGGCTCCCAAATATCTAAACTTTTCCACTTGAGGTATAATTTGATCTCCCAATTTCACTTTCAAATTATTATCGAATAGTCCTTTACCAAATTTACAATATAAATATTCCATCTTACTTCTACTCAGACGAAAACCTTTCGACTCCAATGTCCTCCTCCATAACTCAAGTTTGCAATTAACCTCTTCTCTTGTCTCTGCTATAAGAACTATATCATCCGCGAAGAGCATACATTTCGATATTTCCTGTTAAATATGTTCCGTCAAAACATTTAAAATCAAGTTGAACAAATAAGGACTCAGAGATGATCCCTGATGTAGTCCAATCTTTATAGAAAAATTCTTTGTTTGACCACTAGGCGTTCTTATACTAGTTTTTACCCCCTCATACATATTTTGTATGACTTTAATATAAGCAATCCGTACTCCCTTTTTTTCCAACACTTTCCAAAGCACTTCTCTTTGTATACGGTCATAAGCTTTTTCCAAATCAATAAAAATCATGTGTAGATCTTTATCTTTACAACGATACTTTTCCATTAATCTTTTTAATAGATAAATCGCCTCTGTAGTTGATCTACCTGGCATAAAACCAAATTGATTCTCAAAAATATTTGTCTCCAATCTCAACCTGTGCTCAATTACTTTCTCCCACAATTTCATTGTGTGGCTCATGAGTTTAATCCCTCTATAGTTAGTACAATTCTGAATATCTCCTTTATTTTTATAAATAGGAATTAATGTATTTCTCCTCCACTCATCAGGCATATTCTTGGACCGTAAAATCACATTAAATAACTTAGTTAACCATCTCACCCCTTCTTTACCTAAACATTTCCACGCTTCGATAGATATACAATCAGGTCCGTTGGCTCTACCATTTGCCATTTTCTTAAGAGCTTCCTTTACCTCCTTATCACGTATTATTCGATAGAATAACAAATTTTGTTCTCCTTCACCAGTTACTAAATCCTCCAAGTTACTAGATGAATCCTCTCCATCATTGAAAAGTTTAGAAAAATAAGTCTCCCATCTATTTTTAATTTCATCATCTGTAACTAAAATTCTTCCCTCTTCATCCTTAATACACCTTACCTGTTCTAGATTTCTTGATTTTCTTTCCCTACTCTTGGTAATCTTATAAATATTTTGCTCTCCTTCCTTCATCTTAAGATTCTTATAAAATTCTTCAAAAGCTCTAGAACGAGCTTCACCCACAGCTCTCTTAGTTTCCTTCTTAGCCATACGGTACCTCTCCCAATTTTCCTCATTGTTACACAAATGTATGGCTTTAAAACAGTTCTTCTTATACTTGATTTTGTCCTGTACACTATTATTCCACCACCAAGACTCCTTATCTCTCGGACCAGAACCTTTCGATTCTCTTAAAACTACTTTGCAACCTCTCGTATCTTTTTCGCCATATCCTCCCATATAATGTTAGCACTTCCCTGAGAATCTCAAATTCCTTTATCCAAAAGATTTCGCTTGAAAATATCTTGCTTCTCACCTTTTAATTGCCACCAACAGCCAATGTAAAAACAAATAAGCTCAAAATAAGGAAAAAAAATTATACTCCTAAGCTCGCTTTAAGATTTTTGAAGCTTATTCGGGTTAGTTTAAATTACCAATTTTAACCTTCCTCAATCCATTAAAATAATTTGATGTTGACTATTAAGTTTTAAGGATGAAACTTAATAAATTGAAAAATGTTAGCCTATTTTATAAAGTTAATTGGTGCCATATGCACAATTTTTGATTTATGGATATAGAAAGCTTTTGGAGAAAAAGTTTATGAATATTTTTACATTTTATCTTTTTTTTTAAAGCAGTTAATATTAACGAACGTCAGTCAAACTTAATAGTTTAGGAAAAGATGCCCTTATTAGAAAGAGTTCATGCATGCTCCATGTCAAAATAATCTAATATATAAAGTATATTGATGATTTGGCATGATGTAGCCAAATGAGAACAAATTATTCCTCAAATGTATTTAATTTTTTTAATATAATTCCTTACAATGTGTTTTACTCCCCTGTTTTTCAAAATTTTAAAGTCTATTTTTTTATCTAAATAATTATACATCTTTTTATTAATTTATATGGTTACCATCAATATTTTATTATCCAAATTAGCAAATTTTAATAGTGTAATCTCTTTTAAGGATTGAATAGATAATCGAAATAAACATAAAGGACTAAATTGAGAGAAATTAAATTTTAAATATCAAATTGATAATTGAGATAATCTTAAGGGCTAAAAGTTATAATATCCCATAAATAAATAAATGGCTAAGCAGAACTGTACCGTTTCCCAAAAAATGAAAAAAAATTAAAAAAAAGAAAAAGAAATTGAGCTTATTTTACTTTTATAATGATTGAAAAGCTAGTTTAAATGTATAATGAAAAAATATGAAAAATATCTTTTTAAAGCAAAAATTGTAATTTTAAATTTAATATTTTTTCTGAAAAATATTAAATTAGGCACAAAATATATATATATATATATATATAAATCATGTTCATTTTTGTTATTTTATATCTAGACTAACTTTTAAATCAAATCATTTAAATAAATTTTAATTTATTTAACTTACTTCTAAAAAAAAAAGTATCCAAACATAAATTATATTATAGTTACATTCTTTTTTTCTACCTTCAGCTTACTAACCTCATTAATTCCTGATCTCAATTATAGATTTTTGAATCCATAC